TGCTGTAGCAGATGGGGGCTGATAAGGTCAGAGGAGTGACCTACCTAATCTGTGCACTTTTTTGGGGGGGTTGTAATAGGCGATAAAGTTTAACATTAAATTTCTGGGCTTTGCGATAATGGAAGAATTGGTGCTGTTTTGTGAAGGTCTTTCCTCACAATAATTGAGCTAAATGAAGGAAAAGATCTTACCTTTTTTTTTTTTTTAATCTACTCTACTAGCTTTTCAGCTTTGTAGTGTGAAATTATCACTGCTTAATTGTCTCCCCTATATCTGCACCTCCCATCATAAGACTCTCTTTCATCCTGGCCACTGAGCCAGGCTTGAGGGCTCCCCTTCCCTTCCCTTCCCTTCTTGGTATTGCCCCCCCCCCCACTCCAGATTCAGCTTTTCTGATCACCGCCACCTCCTGTGGTTGCATCTCCCTGAGTGTCCTCCCCGTTGTGAGCCCTTGGGCAGATGATCTGGGGAGTGGGGCTGCCAGAGACGAGCGTGGCGGTGGCTGCTGAGCTCCAGCTGCATCCGCGGCTCAGATCCTCCTGCTGCAGCCTTTGTCAGTGTCTCTTGGATTTCTTCTTTCCAGGGCTGGCATTACTCCATCCCGGTTCCTCTCTGGGACCCCACTGTGGTTAGGAGAGACCAGAGCTGGCTGGAGCTCAAACCCCCCAAACTCCCCTGTGTGCGTGGCCCATGGCGGCAGGAGGCTCGGGGGCAGCAGGAGGTGGAGGGGGGCAGCTGTGCAGCCCGGGCAATCCGAGCCCAGGGGTTTATGGCCTCCTTTCTCTCCTCTGCACGCTGTCTTGTTCCCCGCTTTCCCTTCATTCCTTGGACGTGACTCTGTGATATAAAATACCCTCTAATTTCCTGAGCCGGGCTGGGGCTCCCCAGAGAAGGCAGCGTCTGCCTGTCCCTGGCGGCCAGGGGAGTCCGGGGAGAGGCTCTGCCGGAGAAGCCGGCGGGATGGAGCCGGGTTCCCTCCCTGCCGCCGGGGCTGCGCCTGCCCCTTCCCCGGCTGCACGGAGCAGATGGGCCGCTTGTGTCGGCACGGGCAGCCCCTCCGCACACCCCGTCCCCTCCTCCTCCTCGCCCCCCGGCTTGGCCCCGTGCGGCTGGGGATGGCGGCTGAATCATCCGCCCACTCGCCTGCCTCCCCTGTAACCTCCCTCCTCCCTCCCGCAGATCCCTTTGTTGGAAAATCCGAGGCAGATGAGGCCGGGGCGCTGGGCCTGCAGGCCCGGCCGTGAGCCTGCGGCTCGGCAGTGGCTGTGGGGCAGCCCCGGGGCCGGCGAGTGGCCGTTCTGCTGGGCGGCTCCAGGCAGAGTGGCAGCGCTGAGGGGCCGGACCCCGCTCCCCTCGGCGAGGCTCGCTGAGGGGTCTCCCTGGCCGCCACTCCCAGCCCCCAGCAGGACTTTAAACAGGGGGACATCTGAAGCTGGGCTGCCCCGGTGGACGGTAAACTAAAAGCAGTCTCTTTGAAAGCAGCCTCGGGCAGATGTTTTCCCTGGGCTGTGGTGGCTCCTGCCAAAAGGAAAGGCTTTTAGAGGACTGAAAGAGCCTGTGCTCCTTCTGGGTCTGCTCTTTGGGGATTCCGAGCTCAGACTCCGTCAGCTGGCAGCTCTTCCTAACATTTCCCGGGGATGGCTTTCCCTCCACGCACACCCACATCCCATGGCCGCCCCTCCGAGCCCCGGGAGCAGAGACGTGGCACCGCTCACAGCTCCCCCAGAGGCTGCTCGGCTGCTGCCTTCTGCGGCCTCGCTGCTGTGAGTGAGGAGAGTGACTTCATTGTCTCGCTGGTGTGAGCTGCAGAGAGTGGTGAGAGGGGGGAGGAAGGCTCGGGGCCAGGAAGGAATGCAGGGCATGAGGGTGCACGGGGTGACAGCCGTGAGCAGGACTGCAGAGTTATTCCTGCTCGGCATGTGCCTGACTCCAGCACTATCAGTTTTTGCTCTGCACGGTCTAAATATATAACCCATTGTGCTCTGGCATCTAGGTGATAAATAGTGCAGTAGCTGGGGAAGGAGAGAGAAGACTGCGGTGGGGTGGAGCTGACCCCCGAGATGTCTGGGGCAGCCCTGGGGTGACCAGAGCGAGGAGGGACCAGCTCCGGGACAGAGGGGCCTTGTTCTCCGTCAGACATAGCAGCTGAGGGCAGGCAGGGATCTTGGGGCTGGGTTTCCTCTGTCCCCGCTGACAGTGGAACAGTTGGTTTGTGCTTAGCGGTTGGTCACCTTGACCCTGCGAGTGTATTGCCCCGTCCTGTCACCTGCAGGCAGGGCTCTGTGTCCCTGAGCAGGCAGCGCTGGAAACTGGCTCTGCCTGAAGCTCTCTCTAGGAATTGGATGGAGTCCAGGCTCCTGGCGACAGTATGAATGGAGGCTGGTGTGGCCAGGCCAGGGTGTGTGTGCACTTGGAAGTGGGGAGACGGCAACTCGCTGGCACTGGGCAGGATTGGGGTGGGTGCCGAGGGGGATGGGTCCTGGGGAAGGTTGCCTGTGTTTGACACTGCCTGGGGCTTCAGCGACCTTGGGCAGAGGCTGGCACAGGGCATGTTGGAGAAACATCAAGCCAGCAGGGTTTTAATCCATCCTCGCTGTTCCTTTCCTACTTTTTCCTGCTTCTCCATCTGTTCAAGGGGAATTAAGGCACGTCCTGGGGGTGGATTAGGCTGCTCGGAATGTGGCCTCCTCATCTGTGCCTTCTGGGGATGGATAGCGTGTGTCCAGGTCCTTTGCTGGCCCTCTGGTTTGGTCAGGGACTGTGAGTGCCAGCAGAGATGTGGCCACGCACTGCCTTTCTCCCAGAGACAGCCCTTTGCAGAGCGTGGTGACGCTGGAGGAACCTGCGGCTGGCAGGGAGGAGCGAGCCTGCTCCTGGGCTTTGCTCCTCCAGCGCTGATCACTTGCCTCTGGCTGATGCCCTGTGAGTGCTGGTGAGCCTCGCCGTCCTGCATTCCGTGGTGGTTTGGCAGTCGGCAGCACAGGGTGCCATGGCTCCGGCCCCACTGTGCTCTGGCTCCGTGGTGGTGGCCGGGCAGCCTGGGCAATGGGTCACAGCTCCGTGCCCCACGCTCCCCTCCGCTTCTGTCCTCCCTGAGCTGGGGACTGACATGAGGACCCTTCTGAGCTGTTGATGGGATCCCACCTCTGTGTGTTTAGTTACTTATAAGCTACTTCTTTTTCAAATGTAATTTCCCCTAGCTTCACATTCATTCTTTTATTATTTTTCTGTTGGATTCTTTTCCCCCAAATCCTAATTTCATAATTTAAACTGAACATTAGGAAAGAGTTTCTCACAGAAAGAGTAGTCAGGCATTGGAATAGGCTGCCCAGGGAGGTGGTTGAGTCACCATCCTTGGATGTGTTTAAGAGTTGTTTAGATGTGGTGTTGGGGATATGGTGTAGGGGAGAACTTTGTAGAGTGGGGTAGATGGCTGGACTTAGTGATCCCAAGGGTCTCTTCCAACCTAAATGATTCTATGATTCTAGAACCATTCTAATCATAGAATGGTTTGGGTTGGAAGGAACCTTAAAGATCATCTAGTTCCAAACCCCCTGCCATGGACAGGGATACCTCTCACCAGACCAGGTTGCTCAAAGGGTCATCCACAACTTCCCTGGGCAACCTGTTCCAGTGTCCTACCACCCTCACAGTAAAGAATTTCTTTCTGGTATCTAATCTAAATCTCCCCTCTTCCAGTTTAAAACTGTTACCCCTTGTCCTGTCACTACACTTCCTGACAAAGAGTCCCTCTCCGGCTCTCCTGGAGGTTTCCTTCAGATATTGAAAGGCTGCTACAAGGTCTCCCCAGAGCCTTCTCTTCTCCAGGCTGAACAACCCCAGCTCTCTCAGCCTGTCTTCATAGGAGAGGTGCTCCATCCCTCTGAGCATCTTCGTGGCCCTCCGCTGGACCCGTTCCAACAGGTCCATGTCCTTCCCGTGTTGAGGACTCCAGAGCTGGACACAGTGCTCCAGGTGGGGTCTCACGAGCAGAGAAGAGGGGCAGGATCACCTCCCACGACCTGCTGGCCACACTTCTCTTGATGCAGCCCAGGATGCGGTTGGCTTTCTGGGCTGCCAGTGTGCGCTGCCGGCTCATGTGGAGCTTCTCATGCACGAGAATCTCTTTGTTCACTGTTTAGTTATTACATTATTTTTTTAAGCACAATGTGTCAAGCTACCTTAGATACAGCTTTATCACAAACTGTTTGTAAGATGTCTTTATATTAAATGAGAGTGCATAAAATGTTATCATTGAGTAGGAAAGAAAATGAACTTGTTAAAGCCTATTTTGCCATTGTTTCATTTATCAAAGATGGTATTAATTGAGTCTGGTGAGTTTACAAGTTTGCAGACTTGCTGTGGAAAAGTATTTAGATGCCCAATGATATTTAAAATGGAAAGAATACATTTTCTTCCCAGAGAAAAACTGATGTTTTTAATGTTGGGGGGAAAAAGATTATCTGCTCCATCCAGCACGAAGGCTGATAATAACGTAGCTGTTTGTGTGATGTGGGAACATGACATCGTGGCACAACTATAAAGCTTTGAAGTGATGTTGAAATATTATATATGTAATTAAAAATCAACAGTAACATTTGGGAGGCAGCGTGTTTAATGTATTTCACTTTCATCTATTAGAAATCTCTGGCATAGATTGTGATTCTTTCAGATCGTTAATGAAGAGGTTTAAATCATGTATTTCTTTAGAAATAAGCGAACTGGTGGATTTCTTTAAAAATAAGCAAACTGATGGAAATATGCATCTGCATTTTTTTGAGGACTGATTAAAATGTGAATCTGGGGGCAGAACAGCTGGGTGCCCATGGGAGAGCCTGTTCTGCCCCCTCTAGCTGCCTGTGGTGCTGTGGGCAGAGGGGCTGCCCACCCCCGTCCCCAGGCCTGGGCTGCTCACAGCTGGGTACAGATGCCCCCCAGGACAGTCTCCTTTTCCCCTGAAGCCCTGGGGCCGGCTCTGACTGACTGCTCTCCCTCTGCAGGGTGGTGAAAGAAGAAATCTCGGATGACAATGCCAAGCTTCCTTGCTTCAACGGCCGGGTGGTGTCCTGGGTAAGCATGCCCGTCCTTCCATATCTCGCTGCCTGTTTCTGCCTCTCTGAAAGCCACTGCCGGGTTCCATAGTGCCCAGTGAGGCCCGGGAATGCTCCCGGCTGCCGAAGCGCTGGCTGCTGATGAAGATGATGAGCTGGATTGCCATGCTCCAGTCCCTCAGCTGGAGAGGGGCTGCCTGGTGCTGGGTCCTCAGGCCGGGGACGCTGTGGGATCCTCTGTGGAGAGCTCATGGTCACTGAAGCCTGGCAGAGGTGGTAGTCCCCTGTCCTCAGTGTAACCCCTCTGCCCCTATGGCAGGGTCAGCTTTCCAAGGAAAGTCCTGCTCCGGTGATGGGCGCAAAGGGCTTAAGTGACTCTAGTGCTGTTGAAGCGGACTGGATTTGGCTGCCCTGAAGACTGAAGGTACTGCCTGGGCAGCTGCAGGACCAGCTTCTCCCTGGTGCCATGCCATGCCATGCACATGCTGTCCCCTGCCCGCATGCCTCCCTCTGCCCTCACTGGGACCCTCCTTTTTTTGCCGGCGGGAGAAGGTGTTCTGTCTCCATAGCTAGCCACCCCTTTTGCCCTCTGCTGAGCTGCAGTTTGTGCTGATGGGGGATCTACACCAGGATCTACACCAGGAGCAGAACCAAGATGCCAAGAGCCTTTTTCCAGAGGCCACCAAATAGCCTCTAAGCAGTGAGAATCCTCAGCAAATCAGGCTGGGTCAAACCCAGTGCTGCTTCCATCTGCACATCAAACGGCGAGGCCTTGGCTGGGGGTCCGTGGGGTTTTGGGGGGCGGGTGGGTGCAGCCGGGTGAAGTCCTGCCCACAGGCACGGGGCTCCCACACAAAGGGCCAGCAGCCAGTGGCCAGGACTGGCCGCCCTCCCTCTAGCGGTTACCCAGCGCTTTAGAAAATGGCCTGTCTGGCCCCTAGCCACCATCCCCGCTGCTGCTGCATCTGCCCTGAGAGGTCTCCCCACTCATCCCTTTCCAGCTGCCTTTTCACCTGCTTCGTGGGGAGTCCCAAAGGCGCTGAAGCCTTTCCATTGCTCTTTTTTAACCTGGCATGCTTTTCCTCGTGGTCCATGCATCTGTGCAGCCACTGGTGTTCCTCGTAGGGGCTCTCCCTGCTCAGCGTGGGTGCCATGGACCCTGCTGCTGCTCTGGCTCCTTGTGGGGAACTCGTGCCCGGAGTTTGCACTGCTGCCAGCTCTCGTGCATGGAGGTGACGGCAGTCCCAGAGACCTTTAAGCACAGCTGATGGTCTCTTTTTCTATCCGTGCTGAGAGTCTCCTTGTCTGTGGGTGGTTTGGGGGCTGGGGGGGGGCACTTGCTTTGCTGCTTCTGCCAGACAGGCTGGGTTGAGGTTATTTTAGGAACTTGGTACCAATTTTAGCTAGAGGGAAAGATGGGGGCTTGGATCCAAGTGAATATTTCCTGACAAGTGCGAGAGGCAGGAAAAGTGCAGAGTGGTTATCAAAACCTTCTCTGGAGGAAATCCCAGCCCTGGGAGCACTAGAGGAAGGCAGCATCAGTCCCTCTGCTTGGGAACAGCCCCTCTCCCCCTCCCCTCCCTGCTGTTTGACAGCTGCCTGCATCCAGTTCCCTCAGACCAGATCTGTTTGCCTGGTCTTGCCTTGATATCTGCAAGCACAGAGCGTTCCATGGCGGCGCTGGCCCCTGCCATGATCTCACCTCCCCAGTGCTCCCAGGCAGTAGCTGCTGGAGCAGGGATGTGGCCCTCAGGGAGTGGGACGAGTCCTGGGAAGACAAGTCACTGGGAAGGTGTGGGGAGCAGCAGAGTGGAAGCTGAGCCAAGTGTGAGACAAGCTAGTTAGACGGTGGTGAGAGCAGGAGCTGTTGGGCTTGTCCTGGGGCTCGTGGGACGGGCTCTGTGGCTTTTGACACCCCAGGGTGCTCTCTACTCTGTCTGCTGCCTTGGCTCTGGCTTTTTCAGGGCTGCTCTGTCTTCCCTGCCCCAGCTGCATCCCTGTCTCTGTTCCAGTTCTACCTGGCAGCAGACCTCTCTCCCACTGTGTTATGGTTTGAAGAACTGACGACAATGTATTGTCATTTAGACAATTATTCTATCACTTGCTGACCCCTCCCCCCAGGGGAAGGGGAATCGAGGAAAAAGAAGGGAAAAAAAGGGCTGAAATATAAATAGAATAACTAAATAGTTAATACTAAAGAACCAATATTGATCCTGATACCAATATAAAACACCCAAGGACTGTCCCCAGCCCATCCCACCATCAGGAAGCCGTGCACCCCCAGCAGGGACAGCCGATGTGGGACCCTGCGAATGCTGCGGCTTTGGGAGGGAGGGAAGGGCTCAGGGCTCCAGCACTGGGACAAGGAGTTCTCAGAATGGCAGCCATCAAGGTGGAGAGAGAGGGAGAACTCATAAAACTTTCTAATTTATATTGGATGTGATGTTCATGGCATGAAATAACCCCGTTGGCAGCCTGGGTCAAGTGCCTGGGTCTCACTCATCCTCGTCCCTGCACCTGGCAGGGCTTGAAAACACCAAGACCTTGAAACCTGCTCACCAGAGCTGGCTATAAAGTAAATATTTTCGCAAATTCAGACACTAGAGTCTTCTAAAATGCAGTTTTTCCAAGTGTTAGAAAAGACCTTACTGAAAAGTAAAATGACTGAAAGATAAATTAGTCCTGTGTTGCTCAAATCAGGACACCCTGCCCTAATGATGATCTGCAGGGCCCAGCATCTCTGTTATCATGGTTTCCCCAGTTCTCAGACGTGGGCAGGGCACGGGTCTGTGTCTCATCAGTGATGCTGGGAAGCGCTCAAGACCCGTGTAAACAGGTGTCTGCTCCTGCCTCCATGCAGATGTGGTCTCCTCACCAGTAAGCAGCAGAGCTGTCTCTGCCTTTACAGTGGATGTTGTGGTTTGGGCAGTGCTATCAGCTCGTTTCCAGCCCATGTGTCATGATCCCTCTGTCCTGACCCACAGTGGGGCATCCCTCGCCTCTGTTGGATCAGACCTCTCCTGCAATGGCTGGTGGCTTGGCAGCTGGTTGAAGCCCACAGACCTGTTTAGTCTGGGGTGGGAGCCTGCGGTTTCTCCCTGACCCGGGGGAGGACCACCCCCTGCTTGCCTGTGCCATGCGGGGGACAGGCGTGAGCAGATGGGAAAAACACATTGGAAGGTCCCTAAAGGCAGACCTTGATCTTCCCTCGCTCATGAGCTCTGGCCTGTCCCTGGCCAAGGCTGTGGGCTCCGTTCTGTCACCTCTGCTCTGGGGGTTCCTGAATATCTCTTGCAAGGAAAGGGCTTTTTTTTGCTTTCCTGCCTGGCTCTGTTGCAGTTAGCCCTGCTCAGTGCAGCTGGAAAGTGGGGAGAGGGCAAACCTGGATAGGGAGCGATGTTGGGGAAACGACTTTCCGTTGAGCTCATTTGAGCCATCCTGTCTTTCGTCCCACTGGTGAGCCTGTTCCTCCTGGGAGAGGCTCCACCTCGTTCCCTGAGCCCTGATATCGGAGGTTTATCTCAGGGCTGGAGACACAGATCCAGGGATGCTTGGGCTGCCCCAAAGCATGGCTGGTATAAAGATTTCCTGGGTTTTGACCCTTTCTTAAATTTCTGTGCTGGTGAAGCTGTTGAGCCTCTCAGAGGTTGGCTGGAGGTTGTGCCCAAGCCGATTATCCAGGCACAACCTGAAAGTTTGCAAAGTACATGTGGAAGCCAGAAAAAGAGCATGTTGGAGCCTATTTTAGAGCTACCCTCAGCTTCCATGGGCTGGGAAGGTGAAAGTCCTGCTGGGTCCCACAGTGTGGAGGCTGGTGAAGTCAAGAAAAGGAGTCACTGGTGGCTGCCTCTTCCAATGCAAGAAGAACTAGGGGAATCTACTCCTTGCTACAGCCGAAGGTTACCTGAGTGTAAGAATTGCCCAGTGTTGGCTTGCAGATGGTGTCAGGGCTGTCGGCAACCCCGGCTTCACTGCTGGGTCAGGCATTCCTGAGCCACAAATAGCCAGTGTCTGGGAAGGTGCTGAGAGGGAGTGTTGCTACATGCTTGGCCTGTTCCATACCCGCTCCTGGGCATCTGCTGTTGTCCACCGTCAGAGATGAGATCCTGGGCCAGGCAGGCTTCTGGCCAGCTCATTTGGCCACTCTCTTAAGTGTGTTCCCAGTGCCTCATCCATTTTATTCTCTGTCTCTCATCCCTCTAGCTGGTGTCTGCAGAGGGTTCGCATTCAGATGCTGGCTCGGTCTGTGCCGATAACCAGACAGAGCTGCCACCCTCCATGGAGCGCACGGGAGGAATTGGAGACTCCAGGCCCCCCTCTTTCCAGTAAGTTATCTGAAAACCTGTCCTGGTTTCTGAGGGACCCACTGTAACTTTGCTGTAAAGAGCAGGGGCTGCAACACTCTTGCCCAAATTGGCAGTGATCACAGCCAGCTCAAGGGAAGGAGGATGGTGCTGGGAGTAGATTCATAGTGGAGCTGCATTATTCCACAACCAAGGGTGTGCTGGAGATACTGCAGGGAAGTTGGCAAAGAGCTGGCACAGCTTCTCCTGATCCCTTGCCCTGCACTCACAGATGTGCTGTGGTTGTTCCTCACCCTCTCTGCTCCTGTCCCTCAAGAAGGAGAGAGCTGATGGCTGGAGGCTTGTGCCAGCCAGCACAGAGGCAGAGAGAGCCTGCTTAAGTTGTTCCCTGTGGACATATTTGTTCTTTTTATCTCATTGCAGCCCTAACACTGGGGGGAGTCGGGAAAACCTGGACAACGAGACAGAGACAGACTCGGTGGTGTCGTCGCAAAGGGAACGACCCCGTCGGAAGGATGGGCCTGAGCATGGTGAGTGTCAGTAATGTGGCAAGAGCTCTGCAGGGCAGGGCTGTGACACCGCAGGGGCACCAGCTCCAGATATGGGGCAGCTTTCTCTGCTCTGCAGAACCTTCCCAGCTTAGAAGGGCTGTTCAGTGATCTGAGGCTATAGCCCCATGTTGGAGGCAGGATCTGACACCTCTGTTGCATCAGAGCTTGGTGTTGAAATCTTTTGGGCAAAGGAGATGTCTCCTGTAGAAGCCTGGAGAGCAGGAGGCAGCAGTGCCTCAGTCCTTAGTTGAAGAGCAGAGTGTGCTGTAGCCTTGCCACTCCATGCTGCTCCTTGCTCTGCCAAGGAACCAGCTGCGGATCTTCCACGAGTTTAGCAGTGTTGTTCCAATGGCCTGTCAGCCTCTTCCCCATCCTCTAGTGACAGAAGAGGCATCCCACAGAAGATGGATCTGATCCCAGGGTGGACTCGGAGCCGGCTGGCTCTAGATGGGATTATCTGGTGGCCAGATTCGTTCTGAGAAGGTTGCCATGAGCCCTGCCACAGGGGAAGGGGTTGTTTCCTTGTGGCCTGTCTCAAGCACACTGAGTCTTGTCTTTTCATAGCACCCAGGGTGAATGGGACAGTGAAGGGAGAGCGACGCCGAGACCTGGGAGGGTACGAGAGCTCCTCCACGCTCATGAGCAGTGAGCTGGAGACCACCAGCTTCTTTGATTCAGATGAAGATGATTCCACCAGCAGGTAGGAGAGCTTAGGTCCTGGAGGCTTCCCCCGCCTCCCCGCACAGAAGGATGCCTTTGCAGGGCTCCAGTGTCCATGCTCAGACCTGCCTCTGTCTCAGGTCTCGGCCAGCAGCCCCCTCTGCTGTTGTCTGTGCCCCACGTACATGTTCTGCCCCTGCCATCCTCTATTCACTGGACAATTTCTCTGGCTCCCTTGCTGCACCTGGCACCACCCTGGCAGCAGCAGAGCTGACCCTGTTTTTTGCCTCTAGGTTTAGCAGTTCGACAGAGCAAAGCAGTGCTTCCCGTCTAATGAGGAGGCACAAGCGGCGCCGGCGGAAACAGAAGGCTCCACGCATTGAGCGGGTACCCAGAGGCTGGGTGTCCTGGGGAGGGCAGGATGGGCTGCCTGGTGGGTCTTCCCACGCTGTGCTCCAGGGCTGAGCCAGAATTTGGTGGTGTTTGCTGTGGGCGCAGCTGGGGATGGGTGGCATCCAAGTGCTGAGACTTCATAAAGTGCTGTAAATCCCTTCCAGTATCTGAAGGGAGCCTACAGGAGAGCTGGAGAGGGACTTTTTGTCAAGAGGTGCAGCGATAGGATAAGGGGTAATGGTTGTAAATTGAAAGAGGGGAGATTTAGATTAGATACTAGAAAGAAATTCTTTACTGTGAGGGTGGTGAGACACTGGAACAGGTTGTCCAGGAAAGTTGTGGATGCTCCATCCCTGGAAGTATTCAAGGCACTGGATGTGTCCCTGCCCAGGGCAGGGAGTTTGGAACTTGATGATCTTTAAGGTCCTTTCCAACTCTAACCATTCTATGATTCTATGAAACCCTTCCCAAGCCAATATAGCTTCAAGAACTGGGAGACCACAGACCTTGTCCTGGCTGTGGAGAGGTGGTAAGGACAGTAGCTGATGCCCTGTGGCTCTGCGAAGCTCCCAGTGTAAGGCTGGAGTTGTGGATTGTGGCTGTGGTGCCACAGGGAACACAAGTGGAGGTAGCTGGGGCTGGGAATGTTACTGAGGCACAGGAGGACATCTCACGTTCCACTTATGTTGCAGTCATCGTCCTTCAGCAGCATCACAGACTCCACCATGTCCCTGAACATCATCACAGTCACGCTGAACATGGGTGAGTGGGAGGTGTGCGTGGAGCCTACAGTCCTTCTGAGTGAGACCGGGCAGTGGAGAGGGAACTGGGGAGGGGGCACAGAGAACACATGTGGGGAGAAGTGAGGGGATGGATTCTGTAGGGGAGTGGCTTGTCTTGAAGCACTGGTCTCTCAAGAGTTCCTCTGCGTCCCAGGACATCCCTCTGGGGCAGGGGTGTGAGCGGCCATTGTTAGCATGTGGTTTGTCTGAGGTTAGGGCTGCTGTGCCTGCTGCTTTATGGTGTCTTACTTTCTCTTTCCATCCCTGCAGAGAAATACAACTTCCTGGGCATTTCTATTGTGGGACAGAGCAACGAGCGTGGGGATGGAGGCATTTACATTGGCTCTATCATGAAGGGTGGTGCTGTGGCAGCTGATGGCAGGATTGAGCCAGGAGACATGCTTTTGCAGGTACTTCTCGCCCACATATCTCCATCTTTGGGCCGAGGAAAGCAGTAAGAAAAGACCCAGAAGCCTCCCTGTGCGCTTTGGCAGGCTAAATCCAGGAAGCTGTGCTTGGGAGAGGGAAGCTGAGTCACTGCTGAGCTGAGTGGGGAGCTCAGCCTCTGGTCACTTCTCTGGAACTCACCTCTTTGCATTGTTTGCAGGTAAACGACATCAACTTTGAGAACATGAGCAACGATGATGCTGTGCGGGTGCTGAGGGAGATTGTGCACAAGCCGGGGTAAGCACTGGGGTTGTTCCTTACCCCCACGGGCAGCTGTACGGTGTGTGCTTGGGGGGTGTGAGTCGTGTCTGCCAGTGGCTCTGCAGCAGCTCAGAACTTAGGGTTTTGGTGTTGCTTCGATTCCTGGGTTTTCATGCCCAAAGCAAGAATTGCAGCCAACAGAATGGTGGTGAATTGGGGTCTGTGCCCCCTTTTTGTGGAGATGCTGTGTCATTAGGGTCGTCAGCAACCCTCAGCAGGGTCATATCATTTTGTCCGTGCCACTAAGGAAATTCATAGCTGGAGGGGGACAAGGGCATTGTATTGGCAACTTCTCCCTGTCTCACAGGATACAGCTCCCACCCGTTGTGCAGGGCTTTGTACTGCTGGGCTCTTGTTCTAACTCTGGCCTTTTTTGTTGCAGGCCCATCACCCTGACGGTGGCCAAGTGCTGGGACCCCAGCCCCCGGGGCTGCTTCTCGTTACCCAGGAGTAAGTGGATAGCTGACCCACCCTTAGCACTGGTGCCCAGCTCATGTGAGAGCCCTGCCTTAAGCACTTACTTGGTTGTTGTCTTGTTCCTCCCCTGTGTGTGTGACTCCACGTGGCACTGAATTGGGGTTTGGTGGGGTTACGGCTCTCCTGTTAGGAGGCTGCTGTGTCCAATTCCCAGGCCAAAATGCCCATAAGCCCAGCCCTCCTTCCCACATCACGCTGGGGACGCGTTTCACTGGGGCAGGGGGGTCACTTGCTCGGGGCGCCAGAGGACAGAGAAACCCCCCCTTGAGCCATAGGGGGATCTCTCCCTCTGCACCTCTCCTGCTGACCCTCCCTCTCTTCTTTCTCTCCCAGTTGCTCCCCAGCGGATCTGGGCTGGGCCAGACTCTCCATGCTCCGATCCGGGTGAGTCCCGGCAGATACCGGGGATGGAATGGCCTGCACTGAGTCCCTGTCCCTCCCCAGAGGCTGAATTAATGAGGGGATAATTTCTTATAGCTGCTGACTGACTCTTTCTTCACTGCAGGTGAGCCCATCCGGCCCATCGACCCGGCAGCCTGGGTGTCTCACACAGCAGCGATGACTGGCACCTACCCAGCGTACGGTATGAGTCCATCCATGAGCACAATCACTTCCACCAGCTCCTCCATCACCAGCTCCATCCCAGAGACCGAACGTAAGTCCTTGTGCCTCCGTGCTCCACCCGCTGCACGGCTTCCTCACCTCCACTGTGCTGTAAAGGGAGCAATACATCTGCCTGGGAGCAGCTGGGACGGGCAAGGTCTGCCCTGCCCGGGGACTGAGGGGGAGATGGCTCTCACCAGGCAGGCGCTGGGATCAGGGGGAGTTTTGGCTGGGTGAATTAATACCACCTTTTTCAGCCCTGTACATAAGGAGAGTCAAAGAGTCTGGGTGCAATCTGGGAGCTGTGGTGGGTGCAGAGGAAAGGCTCAGAGCAGTCAGGGGTTACTGTCTGAGAGCAACAGACCATAGGGAGTTGGCTTCTCCCTGCAGCAGTTTCCCTCCCAGACAGCAGATGAGGAGGGAGGGAGGCAACTGGGAGCCAAGAGCTTCACAGTGGGGCAGGGTCCTGCTGAGCACAGGGCTCTTGTGGTTGCTTTCTGAAGTTTTGGATGATTGCAGTGTACAGAGCCCTGAAGCAAGGGTCTAGAGAGCCGGGGCAGAAAGCCAGGAGTTTGTTATAAGTTTATGAGGAGTGGAGAATCCCCTTGCTGGGCTGTGTGGGCTCACCTGGCAACTTTCAGATCTCAGCTGCTTGGGACTGGTTGGAAGGAAGGAGACTCTAGGCTGGGTTTTGCACAAGATGACGTGGCTGACAGGGGAAGGCTGGAAGGGGGGTTGCACAGCATGCACCCCCAGACTGGCTGCGATGTATTGTTCCCTGGCCCATTCCTCCTGTGTGTCATGCTTCCGTGTAGCCCTGTTGTCTTTTCTGTCTCCTCTCATCTCTGCCTCCCTTCCCTTCGTCCACACCACAGGCCTCGATGACTTTCACCTGTCCATCCACAGCGACATGGCCACCATTGTGAAAGCCATGGCCTCCCCAGAGTCAGGCCTGGAGGTGCGTGACCGCATGTGGCTGAAGATCACCATCCCCAATGCCTTCATTGGTAAGTGACTGTGCTGCTGGCGGCAGGGGCAGGGAGTGGGAAACAGGTGGCCTGTTTTCCGAGCGGATGCCCACGGGAGCATCTCTGTCACCATAAGCTGTTGTCCAGGCCAGAGTCCCAAACTGAACCTTTGGCTGTGCAGTCCCTTTTTGCCTTTTGGCTCACTTTCTCTTGGCTCCAGTGTGGCCTCAAGGGCTACTGCCTTCCTCTCTGTTGCTGTATTTAACTCTGGTGGTTGGTGGCAGGTTCAGATGTTGTGGATTGGCTCTATCACCATGTGGAGGGCTTTACAGACCGTCGTGAGTCCCGCAAATATGCCAGCAATCTGCTGAAGGCTGGCTACATCCGACACACCGTGAACAAGATCACCTTCTCGGAGCAATGTTACTACATCTTCGGGGACCTCTGTGGAAGTATGGCACTTGGTGTGGGTGGGTGGGGGGGAATGGAGGGAGGGTGAGGTCTTGCAGAGCCCTGCTAACACTGTGGGGACAAAGCTACCACCATTGCCATCAGGCTAGGCCCCTTGTTCTAAAGACCCTGTTAAAGAGCAAGGAAGAACATCCTAGCTCCCTTGTCGTGCTACTGGGGTGGTAAAGTTGGAAGATGACGCTGTCACCTACTCTGTGGTCTTTTCTCCTGGGCAGCCATAGCAGAGTCTTAGTCTTCACTGACTTCGTCTCCAGGCTCTGAACTTGCAGTGCTGGCAGAGGGGTGGTGCTCAGACAACTGGGTTCTGCTCAAATGAGAGGGGGGTTGGGGGAGGTAACTGGCGAGGTGAGCTGTAGCTCTGATGTGGTCCTTTTCCACCAAGCTGGTCTCTGTATTAGTGTGGCAGCTCTGACTTGCACAGCCAGGAAGCACAAATGGTTGCAGGGACTATCAGGGAGAGTGCCAACGTCTTGCATCTCCTTGTGCACCCCACCCTTGTCCATCAGCAAGAGTGGACAGGGAGCTGCTTTATTACACGTGGTTGTGTTCTCCTTGGGCTAACCCCTTTTCTCTGCCTTCTTCCAGACATGGCTAATCTGTCTCTTCACGATCACGATGGCTCCAGTGGCGCCTCCGATCAGGACACTTTGGCTCCACTCCCCCACCCGGGAGCTGCACCCTGGCCTATGGCTTTCCCATATCAGTATCCACCACCTCATCCATACAACCCCCACCCTGGCTTCCCAGACCCAGGCTACAGCTACGGAGGGGGCAGCGCGGGCAGCCAGCACAGTGAAGGTGAGTGGACAGGACTGAAATACGCCTGCAGGGAAAGGCTACGTAGGCCAGGGCAAAAGCCATCTCAGAAGGGTTGTGGGACTCGGGGTGGAAAGGAGGCTGAGAGCAGGGTCTGTGCTGGCAGATGGCTGTGCTGTAGGTCCCCTCGGGCCGGAGGAGCATCCTTCCTCCCTGGCTTGTCTGAGCTGTCACCTAACCCTGCCTTGTGCGCTTCGCAGGGAGCCGGAGCAGCGGTTCCAATCGCAGCGGCAGCGAGAGGAGGAAGGAGAGAGAGAAGACCGGGGAGTCCAAGTCGGGCGGCAGCGGAAGCGAGTCAGACCACACCACGAGGAGCAGCATGCGGCGTGAGCGCGCGGCCAGCGAGCGCTCGGTGCCGGCCAGCCAGCACAGCCAGCGCAGCCAGCATTCCCTGGCTCACAGCATCCGCAGCCACCACAGCCAGCAGTCCTACGGGCCGCCCGGCCTCCCCCCTCTCTTCAGCCCCCCCATGTTGCTGATGCCTCCGCCGCCGTCAGCCATGGGCCCCCCCGGGGCGCCGCCGGGCCGTGACCTGGCCTCTGTGCCCCCCGAACTGACGGCCAGTAGACAGTCCTTCCGAATGGCCATGGGCAACCCCAGTGAGTTCTTTGTGGATGTAATGTGAAGCGCCCGTCCCCTGTCTGTCTGCTGCCCCTTCCTTTCCCCCCTCCATCCCTGTCATTTGTCTCCTAGGACCAGCCCTGGCTTCACCCCTTGTTTTTTGGGTTTTTATTTTTTTGTTGGTTTTTTTTTTTTTGGTCTTGATAACGAAAAGAACAAAAAAGGGAAAAAAAAATAAATGGAACTAAACCTTGATTCTAATCCCTCCTCGAGCGGGGTGGAGGGGCCTGGCAGGCCTGCTGGGCACTGCCAGCCCATCCCACCACCAGAGTTGTGTATTGCTGATGGTGATTCCCTCCTGCCGTCCTCGCTAACCCCATTAATCCGCATCTGTCCCAGCGCCCTGTGCTGCTTGCCCGTGTGTCGCTGCTGCCTCGGTCCTTCCACCCTAAACATCTCTTCTTTCTTCTCACCCTTTTGTGTTTCTTCTATCAAGCAGCAAAGAATTACGGGGTGTTTGACTTTCTCTGAGCCTGCAGCCCATGGGGGGGAGAGCTGGAGCGTGGCGTGGCCCGACAGGAGGACACAGAGCTCCAGGGGCGCTGGGCACGCATGGTGCTGAAGATGGCTTCTTTCCTCCCCCTTGTGGAAGACCCCCTGCCCTTCCCGCAGGGACCAGCCTTATATATGCGTTTTAAATCCCGTTGTAGTTGCCTTTTGGCTAATGCATGAATGTTCTAGGGCTTCAGTGCCTCTGGGGAGTGGAGAGATGCCACCACTTGCCTCTTGCCTCCCTCATGCCCACATGTTGGGCCAGGTGCGAGTCTGACGCTGCCCCATGGCAGAACCCTCCTCACCTTGCCCAGGCCATGGGTCTTGGGGCTGGGGCCGTCCCTCTGCCTTCATCTCGGAGCGGTGGAGGGTCCCTGCGCAGCCCTGTGCGACTCGGGGCCCTACCCTTGGGTGCTCAGGGAGGGGGTTTAAGGGCAGGGTTCTGCTCCCTCCGTCCTGCTCTTTGCCCTTCTGCTTGCGACATGCTGCTGCCTGTGCCCTGCCTGGCAGTGGCAGCCGAGGCCGTCTCCCTCCTGCTGCCATGCTGCTGCTCAGCAATGTGACATCCTCAGGGGCCCGGACAGTGTTATAGGTGGGGGTGGGGGGCACAAATGGTTCAATTTCACACTTTGGGGAAAGGTGGAGGTCCCCTGTGTGTGCCCTCCACAGGGCCTGAGTCTGCCTCCCCCTCTGCCGGGAGGGAGGATGCTCTGGGATGGAGCCGGACGGTCCCTCTCCCTCCAGGCTGTGACGGCGGCAGCAGTAGTCCCCGGGGCGGGGGGTGGCAGCCTGGACCCCAGCCTCTGAGCTGGGAGCCTGCGGATGTGTCGGCCAGAGGATCTGTTGGCTCCGGTGCTCCCTGCCCTTTTTCCTTTCTCTTCTGGGTACTCGGGGACGTGCCCCGGGCTGGGGGCAGCCCCTTCCCCGTGCCCGGAGCCAAGCACGGTACAGCAGGGACACGCTCAGCCCCCGGTGCTGGGTCGCCGTGGCTTCCTCTGCAAGCGCCGCCGCCTCTTGTCTGTTTGTTTGCAGTTTTTATACGCCGGAGATGAATCGCATTGTGCTCCTCGGGGGTCTGCATTGCCCCCCGCCCCTCGTCCCCCCGTGGCTGCCCAGCGCCTCTCCTCTCCCCCTACCCGCCCCCCCGTCCCCGCGCCCCCGA